GTTGTTTTCCTGTGTCAGTTTAATTGTATTTTAGTTTGTCTTCTTTCCGTTATGGTGTGTGTGTGTGTGTGTGTGTGTGCAAATGCTTAAGTCTTTTATCTTAACTTTTTGGTATTTATCAGATGTATGCACTATCATAAATTAAGTCTGATTCTCTCATACGCTTTTATAATTTGTATTTCTCTTTGTAAATAGACATATTTATTGTTTTCATTATAGGTTGAACATCATAGTCCTCGTTATTATGGATTATCTGTCACCATTTCCCTGGTCATCCTGTGTTCTTAGGCGCAGTAAACAAACAGTTGTCCAGTATTTGTACTCTCACCTTCATTGATAATTATTTCTCTCCGTCTGCTTTCGACATAGAACTTTGCATCGATGCGCGACAGTTCGAGTTCCTACACACCATGTTTCACACAAAACAAGAGAAGAAAGTAGAAGAAATGCATAATAGAGACAGTAAACAGAGGCAAGAGACAAAGGAATAGTAATAACGAAGAACAAAACAGTTTCATTGGAAATTATAAGTCATTAGGAGTGGATGCATCTGCGCTAGCCATTGAGAACGATTTTGAGCCATATCACGATTGTCTCCAGCCTTCATTGGTTTCCATCGTTCCGAAGACCCCAACCATTCAGGAAGTCTACACCTTCTTACGTGGCTGCTCCTATGTTCTGGTTTGATCGTCTATTATTATTATTATTATTATTATTATTATTATTATTATTTAGATCAAATTAACTCAGCCTACAGTACAGTGTTTTTCTTCAGTTATCTGCGTGTTATACAATTAATACTTTTGTTTGTGTCCTTGAAAACTTGTCTGGGATTCGCATATTTTCCACTCAAAACTCAATGAAACAATAATATTAGTACATGTGTGAAACTTGGGCACTGTGGTGGTGGTAGTAAGTAATTCCATATTAGTTTGTTTATTAGATATATCACACAGTGAGTGAAACAGTATTGCTATTCACTGGATGACGCGGTTTCCAACAAAATTTATTGTAGTTCGTAATCATATCATCAATTATAATCACACGACTTCGAAACTTGAATTTTATAGTTTTCTTTGTCCTCTCCTATTTGTCGTCGTTGGGGTAGTAGAATTTTCCATATATCTGAGACAGGTGTTCTCTCTCAGTTGATTTGATAAACAAAGCTACTCTTATCAATCTCTCCCTCCACGCTGTTGTTATATTAGATTTTAAAACTGTCATCTTATCCCATCCATCCTATTGTATGGTTGTGTGTGACTGCATGTAGTCAGTGCTATGGATGAACTATTCTCTAGATTTCTTATCTTATTCGGGTCAACTAATCTAGCTTTTTATGCTGGATTAGTCTAACTGCACCTGTCCTACTACTTCGACCCATGTATTTGACCTGACAATCATTGAAGTCAGGCAGGGTATTAGATAAACTAAATTGTTTTGTTTTAAAGGCTCCACTGTCAGGATTGATCTTATAGCTGACGAAGCATGTTTCTAATTGAGTTTGAGGTTGGTTTGAATTCCAGCCATTTTTATTTCTGCCAACATTGTTAGGAATTCTGCGTAAGGTTTCCAAGGTTCCTTCCTTGTATGGAATTACCACTGATGATTTAGATTCCTTATTGTTGGTGTTGTCTTGCGCATATATCATTTCACCAATCATAGTGTTAAGGATATCTATGAATTCACTACTAACTTACACGGTGTAAATGTAGATGAGAACCAGATGGTATCCTCTCATATGTCAGACCACTGTTCATCAATGCAGCGCTTATGGAGGCTGTAATTTGTATGAAAACAAATACTAAAAAGCAATTCAATATTGGAATTCCAGTCATTAGCCTCAAATATCTGCTTGTAAGGTGCATTATGCAAGTACACTTCTTCACATTCAACAACCTTTATTACAAACAAAACGACAGTATTGTCATGGGTTCCCATTAGGTTCAGTTTTAACAGATTTCCTTACAAAGCTTGAAAATGATTCATTGAAACAAGTAAGTAGAGAAAGGGGTTCAGAATTATTGGGGGTGGGGGTTGGGGGAATACTAACATGGAAATACATTAGGGTTTAATGGTATATGAGACACCACGAAGAGTGAATACATCCGCGCCATTGGCAGTAATTCCTAGTTATATCTCTAATAGCCTATTAGAATCCCCAAGTGCTTAAACCAGACAGCCTACCACTTCCCTACGTGGCTCAAAGTAACTGTCGAAGATTTCACGGATTGATGCCAAGTTTTGGTTTGATAGCTGTTTTCCAACTCATTCCGAAGTCGGTCAGCGTCGCACATTAGAAATAGTTGTGCGCTAAGATTCGCAACACGTCTCCTAGCCGTCTGAACAGACTAATCTTAACAACCCCATCGGAAGACTTACTTTCCTTGTCTAATAAACAGTCTACATCTAACCGTGCTGACATTCCGTTAGCAATCAGTTCTATTGGGGATAATGCAACTTCGCAAATAAGTGAGGACGCCAACATGCTCTACCACTTAAAAAATAGTAGTCAGGGTAGTACTGCCCTGTAGCAAAGTCTTACAAATGACAGGAGAGAATCGTATGTCAGACATTTGAAGATTTCTGTTCAATTTGTTCAGAAGACTGTATTTTATCAGCGTCTTCACCCAGGTGAACTATTACATTTCTACTCTAAGTTGACGAGACTGTTTCGTGGTAGCAAGTCACTCCCTGCGTCACTAAATTCAATTAGTACGTGTGTGATGAAGTTAAACAAAAATGAGGACAGTGGACATCCCTGACGGACACCACTACTGGTTGTAGTCATCTGAGATGACAACTCTCCGTAGGCTCTCACATGGCTCTATGAGTTTGAGTCGAGTGCCTTGGTTAGTGTGATATACTTTTTCTTCACTGCCTTTTTGGCCAAACACTGTCACACCAACATATCTCGGTCGATGGAGTCTAATGACGTCTTGAGATCACAGAATATAAGAATTGTTGGACTCCTTTGTCTGTTATTATTTTGCGTATTAAAAGTTGGGTTTATTGTGTACTCACGCTGGAGCAATTTCGGTAAAATGATTCATTGCCTTTTTATTGAAACGAAGATGTCAAATCAACTGTGAATAAATTGCTGCTGTAAGAGGGGTTCATCGATTGCCGTCTTATGATCCGTCGTGGTTCTTTTGATCTGAACTTACAAGTGTTCAACAACGGCCAATTTTTGATTAAATTCACAGTGGAAACAGAAAATCAATGAAATATTGCGTTTCTGGACGTACAAGTGACAAGAAGAAATTACGCGACTCTTAAAGGATCTATCCATAGAAAACAAACAGTTACAAATGGCCAGCTATATTAGTTGAATATCTATGGGTCACAAAGAACTCTTATCACTTCATTCACTCACGTGGTCAGCAGCATTTGTAACACTGAATATTTAGAAGAAGGACTTACTTCTCAAAAATATCCTGACTCTAAATTAACACCTGGCACGATTTGTTGAGAAGAACATGAAACAAAAACCAAAAAAAGAATTATGTTATTCCGTACCAAAGAAAGTGCTAACTATGAACCTGTGGAGACTTAGCAGCGTCTCCAGTCCCCCGTAGCTTCGCGTAGATCACAACTTTTATTTCTAGCCAGTATCCACTTCCGGTACCTCCATCTTCGTATCGCTGGATGGCATCCCACCTCTGCCAATCAAGCCTGGGCTCAGATTAATCCCATTGTTATCAGTTACCGATAGCGTGGATGCATACATGGCTGCTACTCCTCCTCCGACCATGCTTTAGTGGGTGCCAAATACAAGTTCATCGTATTGTACATCATGAAACCACTTTCATATGCTTAGCTAATACTATGGACGTAACAGAAACACCAAACAGAGTTTCATATTGTCTGTGACTATGCTGGTTTCATATCTAACTTAAGCGGTTTTATTAGTCATGAATAGTAGCTGCACATTACTTGGACATCACTAAGAATATAATATATGCGTATATAAGGATTGGACAATGTTGTAGTTAGAATGTAATTACACACTAATTTCTTGAATGGGTGATTCACCACATACAGTGAAACAGTACAATTAATAATGGATGATGGCATTTCGAACACAATTCATTGTTGTTCATTTATAACAGAATATCGAAACTCGATTACTCTTACAGTCTTTGTTTTTGTTTCCCTTTTGTCTATGTAATAGCAGAATTTTTAGATGCCCTGTTAGGAAGATACTGAATAATTTTCATTGCCCTTATTGTCAATTGATTTGATAAATGAAGCTTCACCCATCAATCTCTCACTCTCCATTCTGTTATACTCTGCACAAACTAAACTCATGCAATTCCACAATACTCTGCCTTAGAGCACAAGTTCTGTTCTTATATCAATAAACTCAAGCAAGGAGATTATTCGAGTCATTGATCACTGTTATGTTTGAAGATAGGTAGTAATTGAATTTGAATGCCTGTCGAAATTCGGACAGGATACGGATCACTGATGAGCATATTTCGTCTCAACGTGATCTCACAATCATGTGTGTAGGTTACTGTATCCAAAGTTTATTCTATTATTAAATGAAACAGAAGGAGAATTAGTGTTGCATGACCGAAAAGACCAAACGGAAACTGCTGGAAACCCGTCACATTACCAGTATGGAGTTGTGTCTATATGGAGAGCTTGTAGCTGACTACGGACCGCCGTCACGTAATTCCAGATATAAATATTTTGATATAAATATTTACGCCTTCTCTAATATAGAGGATCAGCATAACTGACTTGCTGGTCGCCCCAGGAAAATAATTTACTATCCTTATCTACCAGCGGTACGACTTCGACCTAACACCCCTCCGACTCAGTGCGACGGATTTACACAATGTCATGTTAAAGGCTTTTGGATTTATATTCGTTAAATCCAGCATAGCTCGTAGAGGGTTATCGTGATGTCCCAGCCTGACCACCACATTGTGGTAACACCAGTCAGTAGCTTGTTTGTTATAAAACCAGAAATCATTTGCTGACTTTACATATTACACGTCCAAAGACTAATATTAGTCATACAAACAAAACTTTTATTTAAAATGTTTGGCTGTGGTACAATATTCAATTTGATTTGTTCAGTTTCCACTTTGGAATAATAGTGTTTTTTAAAAGGTATAGTTTTGTTGCTTAATATCCTAGAGGTATTCTACATACGTCGCTAGCCTTCTTCATCGCCCTCATCGTGTAGTACTGGTACCCCTGAAAAAGATGCGACAACAAAATGAAATTTAATAATGAAGTGGCAATTAGGTAAATGATAATCATTCCTTCATATCAATGGAAAACTATAAAAACCAATCCCATTGGAAAAAAGTACAAATCTTGGGCAACAGAAACTCCGAGAGATTTCTACTCGGACTAATCACCGCTTGGCATACAAAATGGCATAGATAAGATCCATCAAACAATAAGAAAGGAGGTCGTCACACGGACAAAAAAGATCCAATTTTCAGTCAACAAAATAGTCGTTACCAACACAGTTTAACAGAAGGATGAGAAAATCTCTGGGAACAACTTAATCACACTTAAGGTAATTAGAAGAGACGGCTAATAACCTCATGTAGAATTGTAAAAGCTGACCACCTCATATTGGACTTAGTAGTGTGACGGGATTTTGTCAAAAAAGACAATGAAAGCTACTTCTCAGTTAAACCAGCCATCCAACGCAGCTAAATCACAATACCGTTCAGCGACCTGAAATACAAATTTTTTTCATCGTTTCTACAAAGAATTTTATTTATTCAACATATGCTAATACTTGTATAGTCAAAAAAATATGCCTAACAAAATGCATGTAAAAATAGATAGATGGATAGACGAACAGAGATTAGTTCGTGCGGGTAGACAACAAATGCACTTTTGGCTAAGGTGAATACAGGCTATTCAAGTGAATTATTAGTTCTGAATCAATATGTTGGCCAACTAAAATAAGTAAAGTGTAGTTAGAGCATTTTCAGCAGATCACTGCAGACTTTGATCAACAGCCGCCTTCTGTACTGAAGATCAGATGGTCAAGAAGCCGACGAGTTGGGTGTGGTTCTGGGATTTTCATGGAAGAAGCCGTGTTGAGAGAAAATGAAAGCTTGTGATTAGTGGTGGATTCTGCTGAAAGTGAAGAAAGACAGCTAAAAACAATGAAGAGGTGGTGGTGAAGCCGTATGTTCCACCTGAAATCAAGAGAGTTAATTATATTGGTAATCACAAAAAGAGCCAATTGATCAAGAGTAATCTAATTCAATCATGGTACTGTGTGCCTCTAGCAGTTCATTAATCCCATCCAAAAAGACAAAAAAATAAATCTCATATCCTACTTTTATTTTATTGGTTCAACAACCTTAATGCGCACTTTGGGTTTCCTTTAACTGGAAGAATGAACAGTCAGACAAACGAGTCACTGGTGCGTCGAAAACGACAGAAACAAACTTATTTATTACTCATATTTTCTAAAAAAACAAAACTATTTCAATGAAGTGAACAAAAACATTAGTTCAGCAAAGAGGCTCTTTTCGGTGAATTCATTTTCTTTAGCTGTACAAGTGCGACTGTTAAATACCACTTACAGACGTAAGATGACATTGCAATGTGACCTTCTTTGCGTAAATTACTAGCGGAGTGCTCGGTGACAACCCCCAAGAACGGTCGTTTAAAGTCGATCATTCACAATTTTCAACTATATTCATTGCCTTTAGACGACATTTTCAACGTTCGTGATGACAATTACCCTTTTTTCATTTTTTTTTAAAATACAGCTTGATTCAACACTGTATTTTGGGTACAGGTATGGAATTTTCAGCATGGATAACGGTAGCCCAAATTCTGCAGGCCAACCATAGCTATTGGGTGTGCGTCGGCAGGGGATCGAACCCCGGCCCATGTGCATGATCGGTGAGCGTCATAACCACTGTGCCACCGACTTCAGTCACTTGCTACAGGTATTATACAACTGCTATCCAGCAGTGAAATTCACTGCTTAAATAGAAGACGAATCCAGAATTCCTTTTCTTTATATGAAACTAAAAGAAGACCCGACGGAACATTAAGAAAGTCATTTCGTAGAAAACCTACATGGAATAATCAACTGAAAAGTTTCTACGTTGGATCGTCGTTGGATGAAAACGAAATTTATTTAAATCCATTACCACACTCATCTAACGCATCTGTAGCCCTAAATCTCTAGAAGCAGACCTACAACTCTGAAAGAAATCCTCATCCCAAATGGATATCCACCGATATTAATTGACAAGAACATAAAACCAAAAGTTTAGAGAAACGAAACAGTACTTTTAAAAGAAGAGAAACTTGATGTGATCCTTGATCTCAAGGGAGACTTAACTTGAGATATCGTTTAGCGAAGAACTTTATCATCTGCTCGAAGAACATTCTTTACAGTAACGCTAAATATATTGTTCTGCAGAAACCTGAAGGGCAAGATACTACATCTGACTACTTCTGTGTGCATATACTGCTGAGTCAGGTATTTTGATGGTTTGGCCAGTACCAAGTCTAAAATGGTTCAAAGACAATTTCACTCGTGGTTACAGAAAGGCAGCAGCAGCTCTATAAGAAGTGCGATAACTAAACACCTCGCCAGCACTGGCCATTCTGTCGCAACGAACTCATCCTTTAAAGTAAACTACAAAGTGAGGAACAACCCAACAAAGACAACACGCTTTACTCTCTTTTGCAATGTTGAGGCTCTGGACATTTAGATGGAGGAACTGAATATAAAAGGGTATTATTAGACCACTTCTACTATCAGCCTTGTTGTTTTTGCTTTTTAACTCTTGTATTTCTACCGAGCCCTTTGGTAATTTCAGATTCACCTTCAATTCAATGTGCATCCTAATTACCATTTATTCATTAAACTATTCGTCATGTCACTTGACGCCAATACCTTTATTCAACTCCACTTATGCATTTGCTAATATTTAGAACTATGATTATTACGACTCAAAACTTTTTTAACTACCCAATTTCATGAGAAATTGTCTACAGATGCGATTGTAAAGATAAAGAAGATGAACCCACCGAAAAAAGCCTATCCACTGAAACACTTGTTTTGTTATTTTGATTAATGGCTAGATGAGAATTATTCTTGACTTCCAATAAACACGACAAGTGAGTTGATTAGAAAATCAAACTTTAGTGATACCTTATTTATTCCTCCGGTGAAAGTTGAACAAAGGTAAAAGATCTCGTGTTATGCTTTCCCGATGAAATCATGCAATATCTGTGATCATATTTAAATGTTATCTCACTGTCAGTCACTGAGAGTGAGAGACATAGGAGATTCAACAGAAAGCAAACAAAGTGTTACTGGTGTTTGCATAAAAACAGTAATGATGTTACTCCATATTAATTTTGTTTATTAGGCATACGGCACAGTGAGATAGTATTGTTCACTAGATGGCATTTCCAAAACAATTTACTGTTCATAATCATATCAATTATAACCACACAACTTCGAAACTTCATTCTCACAGTACACACTCTTCCTTTCTATTCGTTGTAGTAAAAAGTAATCTGGAGTTACATACTACCACAGTGCCAAAATTTTACACTTACAGAATAATTGTATTATGTTGTTTATTGTGGCATTCAATCGGAAAAGTAACCTCTACTTCCCTTGTTTTAATCAACTAGAAGCAGACGTGTGTTACATGGAAGATCAGTGTTTAACATCAAGTTATTTTAGGCTTCTCACATTTATCAGATATTTGGTTAAACAGTTGGTAGTTTAATACTCAATCTTCATATGACCACTGTTAGCATATCTTATAGGCAGTCACTTCTTCAGGGAGAGGCAGTTGCTTAGAATTTCCAATGTGTCATTTGCCTGATTAGAACCCATTCGGCAATGTAATCAAGAGTGGCAGGATACTGAATCTCGTTCATAATAAGTTCGATGAAGTACAGTATTAGGGGCTCTGTACTGAATTTACACGTGTTCATTACAGTAGTAGAAGGTAGACAATAAGATATTATTTCACAAGACATAAAAACTCTAATTCTAAGAAAAAGTGGATGGGATACGTTCACCAACCATACGATAAACATTTTGAATGGAGTGAATACTTCAAAATTCATCCAAACACAGTAAATGTGTTGTTTGAGATTTCTTTCCTCATATAGAAAACTTATGTGAAAATTCTATTTATTGTTCTTCTTTCATTTACACCACTCCTTATGTCATCTGACGAAAGGATTAAATTCCAGTATAGTTCTTCTTTTCACATTGTCCTCAAGACTTTTTTTCGTACATTTATACTTGGTATAAAATTTCGTGTTAATCTGTCAATAAAGACTATTTTTGTCAAAAGAATGAGGAAAGCTCATTACACTAAAACTTTTAATATCACCAGTTCATCACACGCTGAATAATTACGTTCTATCGGATCATTTAAAGATTTAAGTTCACTGATACTAGTCAGGCAGTTGTGAAGCAAATAAAAGTTAAAATCCTGATTGTGAGACAATCTAACCACTTGGAACACGGTTTATACAGACTCAGGTTGGAGTGACTCAATATCCTTCATAGAATCTGAATATTATTACCGATTGTGGATACCGACACTAACTTGGAAAACTAGTATTCGCTTAAATTCACTGGCTAATTATCATCGGTGAAACACGACATTTTCACTAGGAAGATTTTAAATAAGCTCGTGATGCGAAGATAATTTCGCAAATTGACAATGATCAAAGTATAATTTCAATGCATCACATTTTTGACAGATGGAAAAGACTGACAGAAGTTTAATTTGAAATTTTGACTTTTGGTTTCTAGTTGTAAAATTAGAAAAATCCAGCAAGTCAAAGGTGTAGACGAATTTAAGTTTTTCCATTATTTTAAGTCGTATCAGGTTTAGAATATACCGTAGTGCAAGAATTACCACACTAGAGGGGGTTTTCATTATAATTAAGTCCCTATCGGGGCTGATTCATTAGTTAAAATTATTTAAGTAAGATTTTAAAAGTTAAGTTATTTTGATTTGTGTCTCTTACACACCTAGTAATTACATTTGATATAAAACACCTAGTATTTGTGAAATGATGATGAATTAAAGCAGCGGCAGTGCACTGCCTTTTATGTTTTATGAAGACGACAGAAATAGTCATTGAAAGCTGCATAGGCATTCTGTCGTGATAGAATTGTGGATTTACTGAAGGTCTGAAGTTAAATATGGAGAAACATCAATTTTATCCCAAGCGAAATTCACAGAGACCTCGAAAATGTAGGCCACAGTTTTCATTATGGTACGAGATTTATAATCAAACAATGATTGCTTTATTTTAATCAGTATTTTGGTATAAAAATGGAATTTCCAGCATGTAATACAGTATTGTATCTATTTATCTCATTACAGTGATAATAATTAAAACATAGCATTTGAATTGATAACATTATTCAGTATGAATATTATTATTGTTGTTTCCTTTATGAATGTGAACATAAAATTAGATTAAGTGAAAGTATTAACAACAATATAATAATGAAAAAAGAGGGCCATTTACTCAGTGTTACTCAGTAAGTTGGTGGTGTTCTGCCTTATACTTTACACATTATCCAAAATATGTGTCAAACAGGATATTGTAGAGTTCTTATACTTAGTTGTTCGAGCATGTAGTTTTCTATAGTTGCTTCGAGTTCTACTTGATAAGACGCTAGGAAAGAGTTGTGCAAAGAGTGGGTGCTCAGAGTCTGACAAGATATTTTTTGGTAATTTCTTGCATGAGTCCACTTGTCTATCAACAACAAGTTGACTCATATTTTGCAGATTCAGATTTATTGGTTGACGATAGAAGGCTTGGAGCCTATGTTAATCATTTTCTAGCAAATTTCTGTGGTTGTCCAAACCCTTATTGAACGAATCAGTTGAGGTTGCAGACACCACTTCTTCTGGGAGTCGGTCCCAAGAGTTTATGACTCTATGTGAGAACAAGTACTCAACAGCAATATGATTTCTCCTTGGCTTTTGAACTCTCCTGCTATGTCCTCTAAGGTGTTCCGAGCATGCAATAAATCACAAGAGTAAAACCGTGATGGTTTCCGCCGTGCTATATAAAGCAACGCCTGAACATTTGAACAGCACTAGCGAAAACTTGGATGTACTTGAAGCACGAATGTAATTCACTCATTGTAAGCTGGATTTTCATAAATTATCATGAGCAGCAAGTGACTTTTTGTGTGAATCTGGGGCAAAAAAATTTAATACCTGTGGTTCTTATAAAATTCTATGGAGTAGAAAACTAACCATCTAGCTTTTTTAGCCTTGGAAGTCTCTTACAGGCTTCATCCCTCCAGTTGTCACCAGTGTTCTCTTCTAATGGGTTTCCTGATAGGCTTGAGATGAATGTACCTAAAATACTACCTACCGACAAAGAGAAGATCTTCGAGAACTGGCAGATCAGCCAGTTTTTGAAATTCACTCCAGTCCTTGACGAGATTATTTGACATATAAAGCACTTTCAGCTTCTTAAGTACATTGATTCCTTTGAGCTTCTCAATAATATTGTAAGAAACCCAGAGTTGCTCCAGCGTATCACCAACCGCTTCCAGTCCTGTCAAGTTCTTTATGTTATTTCTTCCTAGTGAAAGTATTTTAAGATTTTCTGAAATATTATCTATCAACTCAAGTTTACTTAGCCCATTGAGGTTGGAAATCTTCTCTAAGCAGTTAGTCGACAGTGATAGTTTTCTAAGTTTATAATTTGGGATTTTCAAAAAGATTTTTCTTACTCGCACTTAACTAAAGTAGAAAGTGAAGCATCAGTTTTCTCTATTGGTGGATACTGTGCATAGAGTTTTACTTCCGTAGCTTCAGATGCCTTCAGTCCCGTTTTTTCCTCCTGAAATGTAACTCAAACCTTATTTTAGATATACCCATTTTCTGATAGCTTCCTTTATAGTTGTGGGCTTATCCTAAAGACAAAAAATCAAAACACGACACAACACTCACCATTTTAAAAATCCTCCAGTTGTTACCATGCCAACGTAGGTCGTCTAATACCGTTTCGACTAGCTAGTGTAAACTAATTTATTTATTTTATTTTTAATTACAGTTTGATTCCACACTGTATTTTGGGTACAGGTATGGAATTTTCAGCATGGATATCGGTAGCCCAAATTTTGCAGGCCGACCATAGATATTGGGTGTGCGTCGGCAGGGGATCGAACCTCGGACCATGTGCATGGTCCTAACCACTGTGCCACTGACGCACACTATTCTTATTTTCTTTGTTCTAGCTTCTTGATTATGTGGTTAAGGTTCCTGATCTTCGATGAAACTTTGCTTAATTCATCCCCTCCAATCGACTGCCTTAGGTTTATTTCATTCTAAAAGGAATGATGCTGGTATTGTGGCTGGACTTATCTGGCATGTTAGTTGAAATTTTGCTTGATAAAATTTTTGCCAGTAATTTTTAATGAAATTTGTGTTATATGTTTTTCGGATTGATAGGGGTTCTCATTCCCTGGCTATTTATGTTGGTGTCCGCGTCATGTGATCTGACTGCGATACTCTCTTACCATACTGGTTGCAATGATTAGTGTTTCAGATGCAATGTGTAATAATATCCTATAAAGAGGAAGATGGGATAGTTATAGGGTCATCTAACACAAATAGTTTACTTCATGTAAAAGCTGCACCAACCTCGCCTTGATTAGTAGCTCGATAGTTTTCTTACCGGTCCCAAGCCCGGATAAAGAGGGAGGGTTGGGGCTTGGTGCTAGCAACTTCACCCCTGTAAAACAACCAAATCGCTACAGAAACTTTAACGCGCATATGTATAAAAGATTCTAAAAATATAAACAATAGCCTTATTTTTCGCTGGAATCGGGGAAGTGAAATGACGCAGACTGGTGAAAGCCCTTGGGAACCCAGTCAGACGATGTGTCTTCTTTCGATGAAAGCACAAGTAAGGATGGGTACCTGGATTGTTCGTACAATGTACGAAACTGGAAGGGCTGCCCAGAAAGCCGCTGCATAAAGTAGTCTTTGCTTTCTCAGTTTGTCAATTCTTGTATTCTACCCATCCCCCTTTACTGCTCCCCATTAATCTTTTCTGGACTACTTAAGAAAGACTTTGCTTTGCTCAGAATGGCACTAAAAGCTGTTACTAGGGCAAGTGGGATATCGTTAATCAACTGGTTAACACTATTGTGGATAGATATATAATGTCATGTAAGAAACTAGCGAATACAATATTGTTAGACCCCGAGAATCCTCTCTATATGCAGCTGTCTCCTTGCATTTCATCTGGTAGAACTAGAAGCAGCTATAGGAGGCTATGCTCTAGGACTACCAAATACAAAAACTCCACAATACCGTGTCTGGCACAGCTGTTATGTGATGAGAAATCCGTTAGGTATAACACGATAAACTTACTGGGGCACTCTAACAAATAATCCCATTAGTTTTTCTTTTCCTTTCTTCGTTACTATTACACTGTTGTTCTCATCTTCTATCACACATCAACTTTATATTTCATATCCTGTGGTGCATTGTTGATATGTAAACTCTACGCTGTTTTTTTATTTATCTTTTATTTTTTCTGGCTTTGGTTTTTTTATTTCTTTTGTTTTACTTATTTATTTTTATTTTAAAAATCTTATAAAATTTATGAGGTAATTATATAAATAAATAAATTTATTCTCATGGTACAGCATATGAGGGACGCCAGTTTACAGGCATCAACAAATTGTTACAGAAATAGGACCATATTATTCAGCCACAATTTACAGTCGATAGCAAGATATGCTTTACATGTACGCTGGAGATTGTACATACACTTGATAAATGTTAATCCCAATAGTATTAAACATCTTTTTCACTTATGTACAATCATTTCTGTGCGCAATTGGAAAAATCCGCTAGACTGTCATGGAGTGCAACACATCAGGAAATACAGAAGTATTGTCTTCGCATTAACAAAATACCAGGTTTTTGGTGGATGGGTTATAAGTTCCCGGGAAAAAAATAAAGTTTGAAGTCAATTTTCATACATAACTTTGTTGTGTGCAGCATCCTTGAATTATAGTTCATTGATGTGTTATTTTGAAATCAGTGATATGTTTATCTCATTTGATCTGCAATGTCATTGTTGGGAGTAAATACATAAGCTTTGGACGCATTTATTAATGGATTTCTACTGCTTAAGGTTATTTTTTCGCGTGAGGAAGGTTTATGCATTTCAGCTGTTCCAACAGGAGTTGTGAATTTTAATATTAGATGCAATATATTCTAATGCACGCTGAAAATTCCATGCCTGTACCACAAATACTGTTTGGAATAAAGCTGTTATTATTATTATTATTCGAAGTGTTGGGAATCTGTGAAAGCAGATGGAACAGAACTGGAAGGTGCCAACTACCTACTGGAGAGACAGTAATCTATTCCGGCCACCCAGAGGACAATCACGGGCACACCGAGGGAGTGGCCGTCATGATGTCACCAACAGGAACCAAAGCTCTCATGCAGTGGGAACCAATCTCCTCCAGGATAATGACAGCCAGGTTCAACTCAAAAGGAAGGAAAGTTACAGTCATTCAATGTCAATGCTATGCGCCTACAAACGTCTCAGAACAAGAGAAGAAGGAGGCGTTCTACAGACAACTACAAGCAATAATGGACAACGTCCCAAATGGCGATGTCAAAATCCTGATGGGCGACATGAATGCGAAGCTGGGAGGAGACAACACAGGAAGAGAACTCACCATGGGTCGCGAGGCCCTTTGGCGAAATGAACGACAATGGTGAACTCTTCTCAGACTTATGCGCATTCAGTGATTTGGCGATTGGTGACAGTGTGTTCAAACACAAGGATATACACAAAACGACATGGATTTCACCAGATGGAAACACCAAGAACCAAATAGACTTCATCTCAATTTCAAGAAAGTGGAGACGGAGCCTACTGGACATAAGGTCAAGGAAAAGAGCAGATGTGAGCTCAGACCACTATTTAGTAGAAGGGACTTTCAGGGTGAAACGAAAAGCCTCGAGGATAGCTGGGGATAGACCAAAATGCATGTTCAACACTCAGAAACTGAAGGACACAACCACAATGGACACTTTCACTGCAACTGTCAGAGCAAAGCAGGAAACACTACGCGACGTCACTGAAGAATCATGCGTGGAAGAACATTGGAAGTCTCTTAAGGCGACTCTCAACGGTTCCAGGAAGAAAGAAGAGACAAGACGAGAAATGGCTCTCAACGGACACTTGGAAATTAATAGAAGAGAGGAGAATGGTGAAAGAGAAAATGATTCAATGCAAGGACGGACAGGAGAAGGAGACGATGAGCTCAACTTGCACAGCACTGGACAAAGAGGTGAAGAAGAGTGCTAGGAAGGACAAAAGACAATTCTACGACGACCTGGCCACTGAAGCTGAGAAGGCAGCAGGCAAAAGGGACCTGAGGACACTATATCAGATAGCCAAATCTCTATCCGGGAAGAGATCAACACAGGTGAAACCTATAAAAGACAGTCAAGGGAACCCAATTACCAAGGAAGAAAGACAGATTAAACAATGGGAGGATCACTTCAAAGGACTATTGAACCGACCATCACCTGCAACCCGTCCAGAAATACCAACAACAGCACGTACACAACCGCGAGTTGACACCAATCCTCCAACGAAAGCTGAAGTCTTGAATGCAATCAAGCTTCTGAAAGCTGGAAAAGCAGCCGAACCAGATGGAATACCCCCTGAAGCACTGAAAGCGGACTCAGAGACGACAGCAGATATGCTGACTCACTCCACTATTGCAAAAGGTCTGGAAGGAGGGAAAGGTGCCTACTGACTGGGCTATTGAAGAAAGACTATACCTTATTACGTAGGATGTTAAAGGTTGTCAGCAGGGTAAGCAGTTTACCACTTAGCCAGCTTGTTAACATTCTGGTGGACAGGCACATGGACTCATGTGAAAAATGGGCGAAGTCCATTTTATCTGACTCACAACACCCTCTACACTCACAACTCTCCCCATGTATCTCTTCAGGGAAAACAAGAAGTCTATATAGGAAACTATATGCCCGCACTAGTAAGTACAAAAACTCATCCATACCCTACCTAGCCCGTGTTCTGTGTGATAAAGAATGCATCAGGCATGAAACCTTTAACTTATTAAATAGTCACTAGAACCAATGAATCTCGTCTTTCCAACTCACATCATTTATGGGTACAACGTTTTCTCTCTTTTCCATTCTCTCTACCTTTTTTGTCTTTATTTTTGTTAAGTGCTGTTTTGTTTTTCTCTTCCTTGCAAACTCTAGTTAAAACCTTCTTGTTGTTCTTTTACACTCTGTATATCTCGACCATTTTGCTATCGCTTACGCCAGTAAATATGCTAGTAGTATCTACTTTTCTAACACCTTCAAACACTCTGTTTAAATTTTGGCTTTGCTACCGACATACTAATATGTTGTTGAGATAATCTTTAATCTATGTAGAACTTTATTTATTGTTAATGTAAAAACTGGATGCAATATTGTAGTAAAATGCTGAGAATTCCATTCTGTATCACAAGTACTGATTTGGAATAAAGCTTATATAATAATAATAATAATAAAAAGATTACCTCGTGAAACTAACTACCAAAGAAGGGCGACCTACGCTTCACTTTGCAAGAACTGGCCGGGATTCATGCTCCTGTCGACTCCAAGTAAAATTCTGAGTCGCATCATCCTGGAGAGAATAGGGGATGCACTGGAGACAGAACTCCGACCAGAACAAGCTGGCTGCATTCACGAAAGGCAAATCATGTACTGACCAAATTTCAACTCTACGCATCATCATCACAGAACAAAGCATGCAATGGCCATCAATCAAACCTCTACCTCAACTTTATAGACTTTAAGAAGGCCTTAGACAGGCAGCGTTGATCGTGAAGTAATTTGGAAATTACTCGAGTACTACGGCGTACGGTGCCCCAAATATTCATCAACCTTATTCAACAGCTGTATGACAACGGCACATGTCAAGTGATCCACAATGGAAAACTCATCGAGGCGTTTGGAGTAAACACAGGAGTCAGACAAGGGTGCTTATTATCACCAATGATATTCCTAATTGTGGTGGACTGGATTATG